CCCTATACTCCCCCTATACGCCCCCTATACGCCCCCTATACGCCCCCTATACGCCCCCTATACTCCCCTTACCTGAACTTGTTATTTAGGACAGACGTTGTCATGGTGTGGGTCTATTTCTTTTCTGCAGGGTATGTGTCCTGGTATGTTTCGGGGGGCAGTTAGAATTTGGGTCAAACTCTCCATTGACCCCCCAACCCAAGGTTACTGTGTCTCCTTTATACTCCCCCTCGCCCATTGCCCGCCATGCTCTGTGGTTCCTCCTGATGGCTGCTACACCACTACAGGACACAGTTGTGACATAAGAGCTGGAAGGAGGGGCCACAAAGCATGATGGGGGACCAGCAATGCCGCACTCCCGGAAGTGTCTTATGATGACTAGTGTCAGATCCTCGCAGTCACTCACCTTGCCCCATTCTTGCCCCTGTTAAAGCCTCTTTGGCACTTCCGAAGCCCAGCTGTCTACACACCACACTGGCGGCTTGGAGGTCCCATCGGTCATCACACACCGTTCCCCATTCTCCCTTCCTTAAGACTTCCACGCGGCCTTCTCCTGGACGAGAGCCTCCCTTCAGCCGGATGATCTCCTACAATGACAAGGATGGATAAACATGGCTAGTACTCTTCCTTCGGTAGATTCATGAATTCCGGCCCATTGGAGACCACCGACTGACCTCACGCTGCTGCTGTGACACCTTCTTCTTCTTCATGGTTGCCTGTGCCGGAGTTCCATGACCCACAAAGGCCGGTCCAACCGTGCAACTGATCACAACCGGGGCTCCATCTTGGCAGGCGTCTGTACTGTTCTCTTTGTAGAACTCAAAGGGACAGAGAGATAGGTGAACTTCAGTGCCGCCGCACTTCACCGAGTGTACGCGGAAAGATGGCTTCTGCCTCCCCATGTACAACCTGTGAAACAGAACGAGACCGTGTGTAAAGGACGCGGGCCAACCGAGGCGGCTCTCCCGTCACCGATATCACCCCACAAAGAAGAATCTTCTTCCTGGCAGGACATTGGCTGAAAAGGCAACAGACAAGTTTGTATCTCAGAAGACGCGTTTTATGGTGGAAGAAAGAATCGGCAGAGGAGACCGCACTGCCCAACCGTCCATAGTCAGGGGAACGGAGGCTCCGCTCACTATGGCTTCTCATGAACCTGAAGTATGGGCTCCAGCAGAGTCGTCTGACCTCAACGAGTATGGACACCACCAGCCCTGGGGGTGCCCAATACAATGCTGACTGATAAAGTCCCGGGAATGGAGGCTCATTGTGGTGACACAATAACGGTTCCGTGTTACACATGATGAGAGGAACCGCCATCACGCCCAATGAGGTCATGTTCTTCAGCATTTACTATTAATGGCTGTTAATCTGATGGCCGTTCACATGGCAACCTCACGGCAATATGAACCCCTTTCCACCAAGCTACAATCTGACATGGAAATCAATGGTATTGATCAAGTACAAGGAGATCGAATGGAATCAGAGAAGACGGTCCGAGTCCTGAATCCACACTCAGATGTCCACTGAGCCCTCAGAGAAGACATTCTAGAATCTTCTCGAGTATGGACACCACCAGCCCTGGGGGTGCCCAATACAATGCTGACTGATAAAGTCCCGGGAATGGAGGCTCATTGTGGTGACACAATAACGGTTCCGTGTTACACATGATGAGAGGAACCGCCATCACGCCCAATGAGGTCATGTTCTTCAGCATTTACTATTAATGGCTGTTAATCTGATGGCCGTTCACATGGCAACCTCACGGCAATATGAACCCCTTTCCACCAAGCTACAATCTGACATGGAAATCAATGGTATTGATCAAGTACAAGGAGATCGAATGGAATCAGAGAAGACGGTCCGAGTCCTGAATCCACACTCAGATGTCCACTGAGCCCTCAGAGAAGACAGTCTAAGACAGGGGTAGCCAAACTCCGCCCCTCCAGCTGTGGTGGAACTACAAATCCCATGAGGCATTGCAAGATTCTCACAGCTACAGACATGACTCCCGGAGAGAGATGCATCATGGGATTTGTAGTTTCATCACAACTGGAGGGCCGGAGTTTGGCTGCCCCTGGTCAAAGTCCTGAATCTACACTCAGATGTCCGTTGAGGTCTCAGAGAAGACATTCTAGAAACTTCAGAAGCCACCGCCCCCCCACATCACACTTTCCTGGACGAGAGCCTCCCTTCAGCCGGATGATCTCCTACAATGACAAGGATGGATAAACATGGCTAGTACTCTTCCTTCGGTAGATTCATGAATTCCGGCCCATTGGAGACCACCGACTGACCTCACGCTGCTGCTGTGACACCTTCTTCTTCTTCATGGTTGCCTGTGCCGGAGTTCCATGACCCACAAAGGCCGGTCCAACCGTGCAACTGATCACAACCGGGGCTCCATCTTGGCAGGCGTCTGTACTGTTCTCTTTGTAGAACTCAAAGGGACAGAGAGATAGGTGAACTTCAGTGCCGCCGCACTTCACCGAGTGTACGCGGAAAGATGGCTTCTGCCTCCCCATGTACAACCTGTGAAACAGAACGAGACCGTGTGTAAAGGACGCGGGCCAACCGAGGCGGCTCTCCCGTCACCGATATCACCCCACAAAGAAGAATCTTCTTCCTGGCAGGACATTGGCTGAAAAGGCAACAGACAAGTTTGTATCTCAGAAGACGCGTTTTATGGTGGAAGAAAGAATCGGCAGAGGAGACCGCACTGCCCAACCGTCCATAGTCAGGGGAACGGAGGCTCCGCTCACTATGGCTTCTCATGAACCTGAAGTATGGGCTCCAGCAGAGTCGTCTGACCTCAACGAGTATGGACACCACCAGCCCTGGGGGTGCCCAATACAATGCTGACTGATAAAGTCCCGGGAATGGAGGCTCATTGTGGTGACACAATAACGGTTCCGTGTTACACATGATGAGAGGAACCGCCATCACGCCCAATGAGGTCATGTTCTTCAGCATTTACTATTAATGGCTGTTAATCTGATGGCCGTTCACATGGCAACCTCACGGCAATATGAACCCCTTTCCACCAAGCTACAATCTGACATGGAAATCAATGGTATTGATCAAGTACAAGGAGATCGAATGGAATCAGAGAAGACGGTCCGAGTCCTGAATCCACACTCAGATGTCCACTGAGCCCTCAGAGAAGACAGTCTAAGACAGGGGTAGCCAAACTCCGCCCCTCCAGCTGTGGTGGAACTACAAATCCCATGAGGCATTGCAAGATTCTCACAGCTACAGACATGACTCCCGGAGAGAGATGCATCATGGGATTTGTAGTTTCATCACAACTGGAGGGCCGGAGTTTGGCTGCCCCTGGTCAAAGTCCTGAATCTACACTCAGATGTCCGTTGAGGTCTCAGAGAAGACATTCTAGAAACTTCAGAAGCCACCGCCCCCCCACATCACACTCACAAGACCACCTGGCACCCCAGAAACTTCAGAACCCCCCACCACATCCCAACACCAGAGGATCAGTAGACCACATGGCACTCGAACAAAGTCAATAGGACAACTGAGAAACTAGACAACCCCCCCATCAATTCCCACCACCAAAACCACAAGATCAGTATCACATGACACCCCAGAAAATGGACAGCCACCCACCAGATCCCACCACCACAAGGCGAGCAGACCACATGACATCTATAAACTGCAGAGCCCCCACCATGACTCCGGCAGACCATATGACGCACAAGTAACCGCCCCGCCTCCCACTACCAACATAACAATGCAAGCAGACCACATGACACCCCAGGAGTCACCTCTCCCCCACCGCATGCAATCACTGACTCTACAAGGGTAGCATATAACATAACACACCCATCCCCCACCACATCCCAACACCACGACACAGAGGGACTGGCCGGTTACCTGTTGCCGTTTTTCAGCTCCTTCTTTTTGGGTTCTTGGCTAGGAGAGGATCTGTCGGACAAACATCATCTAATCACAAACCACCGAATATGACACAAGATTGCTGCTGGCTCATTGGCTGACAGATGAGGCTTAGCTAGGAAAATTAGTCCTGAATTCTACTTGAACTCATTGGCTGAAGGCCTCGTTCTCAGAAGTTCCATAGATCCCTAGCTGTAGAAATCCCCCCCATTGCTCGTGCTTAGCGTCACGTTAGTTCCCCGTCACAGCGGAGGCAACCACGTACCATTTACTTGCCCTGACCATGAAATGATTTGCTGATACTAAATCTTTACAATGAGTCAGATCTCCATCACAACATCTTCTCAGCCAGGTCGGCTTTAGTCCTTTCCTCATATGACACAAGTGTGTGTAGAAATGAAACACTAAGAAGGCAGAGAAGAGCCCGGAGAAGATATGTGACAGCCACCAGACTGGTGTATCTAAAGATGGAATGCAGAACTGTGGAATGAGATCAAGTGCCCGGGGCAACCAATCAAGGGTTCATTAACCAACGGGCGAGGACAGGCCTCTGGGTCTAGTGTTCCTAAGATAGTCACCCAATGGGCACATGAGGACAGGCCTCCGGGTCTAGTGTTCATAAGATAGTCCCCCAATGGGCACAGGAGGACAGGCCTCCGGGTCTAGTGTTCATAAGATAGTCCCCCAATGGGCACAGGAGGACAGGCCTCCGGGTCTAGTGTTCATAAGATAGTCCCCCAATGGGCACAGGAGGACAGGCCTCCGGGTCTAGTGTTCATAAGATAGTCCCCCAATGGGCACAGGAGGACAGGCCTCCGGGTCTAGTGTTCATAAGATAGTCCCCCAATGGGCACAGGAGGACAGGCCTCCGGGTCTAGTGTTCATAAGATAGTCCCCCAATGGGCACAGGAGGACAGGCCTCCGGGTCTAGTGTTCATAAGATAGTCCCCCAATGGGCACAGGAGGACAGGCCTCCGGGTCTAGTGTTCATAAGATAGTCCCCCAATGGGCACAGGAGGACAGGCCTCCGGGTCTAGTGTTCATAAGATAGTCCCCCAATGGGCACAGGAGGACAGGCCTCCGGGTCTAGTGTTCATAAGATAGTCCCCCAATGGGCACAGGAGGACAGGCCTCCGGGTCTAGTGTTCATAAGATAGTCCCCCAATGGGCACAGGAGGACAGGCCTCCGGGTCTAGTGTTCATAAGATAGTCCCCCAATGGGCACAGGAGGACAGGCCTCCGGGTCTAGTGTTCATAAGATAGTCCCCCAATGGGCACAGGAGGACAGGCCTCCGGGTCTAGTGTTCATAAGATAGTCCCCCAATGGGCACAGGAGGACAGGCCTCCGGGTCTAGTGTTCATAAGATAGTCCCCCAATGGGCACAGGAGGACAGGCCTCCGGGTCTAGTGTTCATAAGATAGTCCCCCAATGGGCACAGGAGGACAGGCCTCCGGGTCTAGTGTTCATAAGATAGTCCCCCAATGGGCACAGGAGGACAGGCCTCCGGGTCTAGTGTTCATAAGATAGTCCCCCAATGGGCACAGGAGGACAGGCCTCCGGGTCTAGTGTTCATAAGATAGTCCCCCAATGGGCACAGGAGGACAGGCCTCCGGGTCTAGTGTTCATAAGATAGTCCCCCAATGGGCACAGGAGGACAGGCCTCCGGGTCTAGTGTTCATAAGATAGTCCCCCAATGGGCACAGGAGGACAGGCCTCCGGGTCTAGTGTTCATAAGATAGTCCCCCAATGGGCACAGGAGGACAGGCCTCCGGGTCTAGTGTTCATAAGATAGTCACCCAATGGGCAGGAGAAGAAGCAGGACTCCCCCATATACACCGACTGAGAGGACATTAGGAGAACAGCAATACTAACCCACCTTAGAGACGAGAATACACAGACAGACAGCAGGACAGGGGAGGTGTCAGGACAGGGGAGGTGTCAGGACAGGGGAGGGGTCAGGACAGGGGAGGGGTCAGGACAGGGGAGGGGTCAGGACAGGGGAGGGGTCAGGACAGGGGAGGGGTCAGGACAGGGGAGGGGTCAGGACAGGGGAGGGGTCAGGACAGGGGAGGGGTCAGGACAGGGGAGGGGTCAGGACAGGGGAGGGGTCAGGACAGGGGAGGGGTCAGGACAGGGGAGGGGTCAGGACAGGGGAGGGGTCAGGACAGGGGAGGGGTCAGGACAGGGGAGGGGTCAGGACAGGGGAGGGGTCAGGACAGGGGAGGGGTCAGGACAGGGGAGGTGTTAGGACAGAGCAGGTGTCAGGACAGCGGAGGTGTCAGGACAGAGGAGGTGTCAGGACAGAGCAGGTGTCAGGACAGAGCAGGTGTCAGGACAGAGGAGGTGTCAGGACAGAGGAGGTGTCTAGTAGGCGACTGAGGGATGCACAGAGCACGCACAGCCATTAATAATAGGATGAATCGGGATAGAAGAGTGTTTAGAATGAGAAGTTTATTCTCGGTTCCTCTCGGGGGAGGAGATCTTTGGAATAAACTCTCCCAGATACCTGGGCCTGGAAGCCGCCACCTTGGAGACCCTTTTAGAAGCGGTTTGTTTCTTCACACGTCTGTAAGAAAATAATGCTGAGATTAGAGACCGGGACGCAGAGTATAACGCAGAGATCAAAGTCACTGGGTCCTTGGAGAAAAGGTCAGAAGGTCCGATAAGACCGGTCTTGTCTGACATACTACAAATATACTCCATACGTGTTCATACCATTCACAGGGGTGGACAGGAATCCCTATCTACAGACCGATAATGAGACATTCCAACCCGCTGTCTCCAGAACGGCTTCCATTCTTCTGGGAATGCTGATGTGCGAGCCCAGAACTGCGTGCTTCTAGCTCTCCGCAGGATGAAGGAGCCGGAGGTGCCCCCGTGGACTTGGAGGTCCCCTTTGGACTTGGAGGTCCCCGTGGACTTGGAGTTCCCGGTGGACTTGGAGGTCCTCAGCTTCCCATAAAGTTTCAGTGATATTTGGATGTGGTGATCCCTGGAAGCCTCTGAATTCATGAAACAGCCTTATATTATACACCCCAGAATGCACCTGGGACAGACTTTTTACCATGGTAGGACCATGACGTGCAATTGGAGAAGTCAGAGCCAAACCATTTGCCATTTCCTGCAGTGTTTAGCAGTGACTGAGGACATTGAAGGCCGAGGGGTGATCTCCAGCCAGATGTAGGACGGGCACATGACTCTTCCATTGCTTGGAGCTCCTCATGCCGCTTTTATGCCTCTTTGGCATGGTGGCCTCGAAGTGTTTCCAAATGGCAGCCCTGCCACCCAATCCCCTCTCTGTGCAGCTCACAATGTTCAGACGTTGTCAGGACAACACGGAGGGTCACTGTTGTTGGGTTTGTGTCTGTCTGTCCTCTGTGTGTGCCCATTATATGCAGATTTTAGTGGGGGAGGGGCTTTCTGTTAGCTGCCTCATGAAATGCTTTCTGCAGTGTTACCTGCGGGATTATGACCAGCTATGGAATCTGAATCCAAGGATGTGGATGACAGAAGAGTTGGCCGCTGTGGAGGAGGTTTGGACTTCTGCGGTGACTGTTGCTCTGTTTTGGTGTTCTGGCCGGATGGTGACTTGTTGAGGATTCGGCAGATTTTTCCATTCACATTCCGGGAATCGAGCCAGAGAAGAAATCTCATTCTGTATGCTGCCGATGTAATGAAAGTATTTTCCACCTCTGGAGCCATGTGACCGCTGGACACTGAGCAGCCTCTGTACAGAGGAGGCAGGAAATATATTTCTGGATTATATCCGAGGCATACAACACAGAGCACCTCATGCCTCCATCACATTCCACTTCCTGTCCTGTCTCCTGGCCAGAGGACCCACCTTCTCTTCTCCTGGCCAGAGGACCCTCCTTCTCTTCTTTTGGCCACAGGACTCTCCTTCTCTTCTCCTGGCCAGACTCAAGATTCCCAAATAGACAGAAGTCTGACTTATGCTTTATTCATCTGCCTTCCTTCACAAAGCACCAGAGTCTGGGCGCCCTACATAGCCCATCAACCCTCTTATTTACAACAGTCTGAGGAGTCAAAGAGTCCCTTGTTACACAGCAGGTTTCCTCATACCATAGCAGTGAGGAACTGCCTTCTTCTGGGATCGTTGGGTCTCTCTGTTTGCCTCAGCCTTCTTCTGGGATCGTTGGGTTTCCCTGTTTGCCTCTGTTTGCCTCTGTTTGCCTAACCCTAACCCCAGAAGCCTGGGAGGGAGGTCTGAGGAGTCCTCTCCTGGCCTGTGAGGGAGGTCTAAGGAGTCCTAATCTGGTCTGTGAGGGAGGTCTGAGGAGTCCTCGTCTGGCCTGTGAGGGAGGTCTGAGGAGTCCTCACCTGGCCTGTGAGGGAGGTCTGAGGAGTCCTCGCCTGGCCTGTGAGGGAGGTCTGAGGAGTCCTCGCCTGGCCTGTGAGGGAGGTCTGAGGAGTCCTCGCCTGGCCTGTGAGGGAGGTCTAAGGAGTCCTCGCCTGGCCTGTGAGGGAGGTCTGAGGAGTCCTGATCTGGCCTGTGAGGGAGGTCTGAAGAGTCCTAACCTGGCCTCTCAGGGAGGTCTGAGGAGTCCTAATCTGGCCTGTGATGGAAGTCTGAGGAGTCCTAACCTGGCCTTTGAGGGAGGTCTGAGGAGTCCTAACCTGGCCTGTGAGGGAGGTCTGAGGAGTCCTAATCTGGTATGTGAGGGAGGTCTGAGGAGTCCTAACCTGCCCTTTGAGGGAGGTCTGAGGAGTCCTAATCTGGCTTGTGAGGGAGGTCTGAGGAGTCCTAACCTGGCCTGTGAGGGAAGTCTGAGGACTCCTAACCTGGCCTGTGAGGGAGGTCTGAGGAGTCCTAATTTGGTCTGTGAGGGAGGTCTGAGGAGTCCTCGCCTGGCCTGTGAGGGAGGTCTGAGGAGTCCTCGCCTGGCCTGTGAGGGAGGTCTGAAGGGTCCTAACCTGGACTGTGAGGGAGGTCTGAGAAGTCCTCGCCTGGCCTGTGAGGGAGGTCTGAGAAGTCCTAAGCTGGCCTGTGAGGGAGGTCTGAGGAGTCCTCGCCTGGCCTGTGAGGGAGGTATGAGGAGTCCTCGCCTGGCCTGTGAGGGAGGTATGAGGAGGCCTGCCCTCGA